ATGCGGTATTTTGTGGTTGTCCTAGTTAGGCTGGCAACGTGTGTGCCGATGGCATACATACGAAGATGTGTGGATAGTTACTGGTTATTTAAAAGGAATTCTTTCAAACTATGGCCCCTATTCGGCTGTGTGGCCGTTTTCCAGGCACAATTCAATGTGATGGCCGTGAGGAAGTTTGCAAAATCGCCGGTGAAAATGTGGCAAAACTCTTATGGAACAACTCTGAAGCACAATGCTATCTAACTTTAATAGTGCCACTTGCCAGAAAATAGTCGAAATAATTATTTTCAGCTCGTGAGACTCAATTCTTAAGTATATGATCTTATAGAGAATTTAATAGTGACCTGCTCTCAGCTCATGGTCATTTTATTTGATACAAAACCGGAGGCAAAGCAGAGCTACGTGCGTGTTGTGTTCTGGGAAGGTGNACAGACATGATAGACATATGATAACATCTGATAACCACACACCCACTTCCGTGATGATATACACTCCGGTTTACTGGTAGCCGCATCGCACGAGCTAGGTTTACCACGGTTGCTGTACTCTCGCAAACGTTGCCCACCGAGAATCTATGTTGTGTGTGTTATAGCGTAACGGACTCTGTTCGCCAAACCGAAATATGAAATTTGTCGTGTTCGCGTTGGCCGTGTGCCTTACTGCTCTACCGCGTCTACTGGCCAATCCATCAAGTAACCTGCCGCCACAGTGCAGTTGTAATAACCATTGTCAGTGTCCTACAGTCAACGTCACTGTCCATGCAACTCCTTGTACTCAGCCGAAGCACATTACAAGGTAAGCATATTGAGGTATCGACTTGTGTAAAGTCCACGTGACGTAACATTGTTATGGATCGTCTAAGAGGGGAGTGGGATCTAATTCCAGTTATTCAGGTAAAAAATAAAATTACTCAGGTCCCAATCCAAATGTCATTTCCCAGTTCCCGTTTAATAAGTAGAAAAATTTCGGCTTTCCCGCTTGACGGTACTTCTATTCCCAAATCACGAAAATATATCTGTTCTTTCCCGTTTTCCAGTTAATTAAAATTGTCCAGTCATGTATCTCGGAAATAACGACTACATTTCTTTTTCACTCGGTATGCACGGTTTGCGCCATCGACCAATAACAGCATAGAATAAAATCTTGCCTGTTGTCAAAATACGTTGAAGCCGGGCCGTGAAGGCATGCATGCAACGCATGCGCATCTGGATAGACACACATTCAACAAACATTAGTTCCAGAGACCCTCATTTTCAAGTCTGAGTTAGTTCCAGAGCTCCCC